AGGCAGAGGTTCGATTATTGTCGAAAGAAATAATTTTGAACTGTAGCCCAACGGGTGAACAGTACCAACGCGGTAACAGTACCGAAATTGTTTCTAAAAATCTGAAAACACCATTTGTCTGTTTTCAATAATTTTCAAAACTTTCCAAAATTTTGTTTTCAGTTTTGAATAACAAAAAGTAAAAACACACTATCAAACACGTTTTTGTTTCTAATTTTCAAAAAAACTAAAAAAAAACAGAAAACAGAAAATGAAAATGTTACCAAACAACCCCTTAATGTTTCTGTTTTGCTAAAATCAATGCCTTTCATGATGTAATTCACATAACAAAGATTCCCAGGAATAGTCCAGCAACTTACAAAGTTATAGACTTCACACTGGTATAAACTAAAGTATATGTCACCAGTGAGAGTATGCGCAGAAAATATACATTAAAATCTTACATTAATTGCTATAGATCTTGAAATTTCCAGAAAAAGCTACTGACCGTAAATGAGCTAACAAAAGCATGGGAATGTGTCCCACGAAGAGGTATTCCAAATAACCTCCCAGCTGCAACATTGCTGGTTAACACAAAGCATAAACACAGAAACAAAACAAACAAAACATTAGCTTAGATCAAGATTTGACATTAGTGAAGAATAAATAAGAATCATAAGCTCCGAATAGCTTCAAGATCAAGCAGAGGGCAAATATTAACTTTACTTCATTTCAATCACTTGAAAAAAAATGATATAGGAAACCATGAAAGCAGTGCACAACAGGTTACAAATAAGTCAGCAAGCCACCTTGTAGCATCAAAACCTCCAATATAGCAATACTTTGATGCCCCTATAGCACCATCGGGTCCCTGCAATTAACATGAATGGAAATGTTTCACAGAAAGAAACTCAAATATTAACACTTCAAATAATAAAACAAAAAAAAAAAAAAATCATTAACCTGAGCCCGTCGAAGCCCAAACTCAAGCAACATTTTAGATTTTCCAGCAACAAGCCTATGTCTAGCTGCATTTGTAGCCACTAACGATGCAAAATTTACAAGATTCAGAACTGGAGTCTCCAACAATTGAACCACCTAAAATGAGAAATTTAGGTACCAAGAAAAATTAAGATGTAAAAAGAAGGAGCCAAAAGTGAATACCAAATTCTAGACAAACTGATGTGGCAAAAAAATTAGTTAGATGGTACTCACAGCCACTGGCCCTTCAACTCTAAGTAGGGGTACCTTTGGGAAAACAACTGTTCCCTCTGAAATAGCATACACTTCAACATCAGAACAGTCTATTTCCCTTAGATAATTGAAAAAGCCTTCCTGACATTTGCAGAAACAATGAACAAGTTAACCATACAATACACAAACCAGGCAAGCTTGAATCCTTAAATCCTTTGCAAAGTAGTCCGGTATACCTCACATGAACCAGGCAAGCTTTGACAGATGAAGGAGATCTCTTCCTCAGTTAACTTGAAATTAGCAATGAGCTTTATGCATTCTTCCAAACCAGCAAACACCGTAAATTCACCACCAAACGGATTCTTCCGAAAATATAGATCAAATCTGAAAGCATGTCACAAAGCAATTCAAATCCTGCTAAGCCGAAACTCAAAACACTCGATCTTTCAAAATGGAAACGCTTTCAATTTTTCATTTTTCATTTCTGAAACTAACACATATAACTTGAAATTCAAATAATTAAGCTAAAAAGAGGGGGGAAAAAAAACCTCTACTGGAAACAAGCAAATGTGACTAACTAATAACTAACTAGTGACAAAACTCTATTTTCAATCCGATTTTAGTAGCAGCCAAACAAAGCATTAAATAAGAAAGCAAGAGAGAGAAAAAAAAAAAAGAAAATTATTGAAAACGAAATGAAATTAAAGGAATAAAAAAAAAGAAATTGAAAGTTACACGGCTCGTTCGTTGTGTTTGCCGGCTTTCCAATAAGCGTAAGCCATGGTGAACTGATAAAGATCGGTTAGAAGAGGCGTAACCATCGGGTTCGTTGGGCCGTCCATGACCCGACCCGCCTTCTCACTCGCCCTGTTCCCTTTCGCCTCCATTAGATATCCTTCCTTTCCTCTTCACTCTTTCAGAAATGCACTCTGTTACGAACTCCTCCACCCTGCTTTTATAGAGCTGAGGAGAGCGACCGTGCGGCTCACGAACATAAAATACAAGGAAAGTTAGAAGGAAAAAAAAATTTTGAACTTCATCCAAAACTGGAAAATAGCGAAAAAGTTGAGAAGCTTTGTTCTGGAGTCGTTAGCTTAGTCAGCGAGTATGACGTGTACAGACCGGAATTCGGTCCCCGTTCTGGACCAGGCTTTTTTCGCGGACCATATAATATTTTTTTTCATAATCTTATTGCCTTTTATTTTTTTCTTGGCTTATGTTTTCTTTTTTTTTTTTTTTTACTTATGGTTGTTTTGATTTTCATTTTGTCATCCTTTTTAAAAATAAAAGAGATAAATTGTTTAATCTTCAAAATATAATTGAAATGTATCATAATTTTTAAGAGATTTTATAATCAAAATTAACAGTAATGAGAATTCGGAAATTTAAGTTTATAATCAAAATTAACATTAAGCGAAGGTTTCCATTTATATTTATGTAAATTTTATACTTTTTTAATCTTTATATCTATGATTGATATTAAAAATATTATTTTAATTTAAATTAATGAATTAAATTCTTTTTATTTATACTTAAATATACTAAAAATCTTTAAATTAAAAATAAATAATTTTTTAATTTTTTATTACTTTATTATAATATTTAATTGAAAACTCAAACATTTATTTTTATTTGATTAAGTGTTCAAATATTTATTTTTATTTAATTAAGATTAAATTAACTAAAATTAAATATTTAAGTATTTAATCGATTATAATATAATGATAAAATTTTAAACGATTATTTGATTTTAATTTAAAATTTTTTTATATTTAAGTTTTTTATTTACTAAAACAATTCTTTGAAGTGATTGATTCAATTGGAACGAATTAGATAAATTTGAATACCATTGTTAAAAACTTAATAAGTAAAAACCTAAAATGACAGATTTCTTTTGAAAAAATAAATAATGTCTTTGATTCGTGTTTGACCGTTTGTTGTTCTTAGCCCCGTCAAATCAGTCTATTCGGAAAAAAAAATTTGTCAAGCAAAGTAGCAAACCCACGACTTTGAACACGTTTTGGAATAACATGGTGGAATATGTGAATAAAGGAGGCAGCTCAATATCATCTTGATAGATTTTGATTTGATTTGGTTTTATGTAGTTAATTTTTAAAAATTTAGATTTTAGGTGGGATTTAATAATAGTGATAAAAAAAATAAAATTAAATTTTAAATAAATTTCTCTTGACCAATTTGATATATATAATAATTATTAAAATTATTTATTTAATTTTATATTTATAATAAAAAATAATATTTTATTAATTTTTAATTAAATTACATTTAAATATAAAAAATAAAAAAATTATTAAATCTAATCAAATTTAAATATTATAAATATAAAATTAAATTAAATTCGAAACGAAAAATTTATCTCAACCCAAACTATTTCCATCCATAAATGTGAACCATATCGAAATTTACAATTTGCATCTGGATTAAGGTTGGGTTTCTTAAGCAAGGAAAAAAATTTTTCTTTTTACCAAAAACAGAAAAGTGATTTTATTTTTCTTTTTCTTTTTTTTTTCAAAATGAAGGATTTGAAGTTTGAGATCTCATATGTAAACTAAAACAAATATGATAAAACATAAAAAATACTATAATTTTAGAAAAAAATATTATATAAGTTTATATTTATATATTATTAGTGTATAAATTTTATATATTATTGAATCAAATGATGATATTTTATTAATAAGTAAATATTAATTTTTAAAATAAATATATATAAATTAAAAGTTTAAAATATATATTTATTAATAAAATATTATTTTTTAAAATTTATTTTAATAATTAATTATTATTATTTAATTCATCAATAATATATAAAATTTATATATTAAAAAATAATGGGAATTTGCCCATAAAAAAATGGATACCCCGACCGAAAACGGTACAGTCTTCTGCATTTGGACACAACATGTAATGAGATGACCAAGTTGTTCTAGTTCTAAACAATAAGATTAATCAATGTCGTTTTGCCCATGTTCATGTCGCAAAATTTTCTTCAACTAACCTATAGAAAGCTGGCAGAGAAAATTTGATAAAGAAAATTGATGCTGTAGTGTCACAAAGTTAGGAAGGGTCCAATTTGGCGGCTCGTGGTCGAGGGAAAACAGGCCGGTCACCTTCATTATCTTAACTTAATATAGGTAGACATATCTATTTGGTGGATAAGATAAACTTTGATAACGTTTGTGTCTGAATTTCGAATTGAAAAATAAAATTTTAAAATTATAAGAGAGAGAAAGAAAGTAGTTAATGATAAAAATAATTAATATTTTTTATATTTTAATATTTAAATTAGAAATTAATTATAAGAAATAAGAAAAAGAATAAAATAAAAAATAGAATAAAGTAAAATAATTAAATTGTACTTGAATGAAAAGGAAGGTGAGGGGATTAAGAGGTAAATTAGTGAGGTGATTGAATTGATTTAAAATTGTCAATGTTAAATTTGTTTAAAACTCAAAAATATTTTTTATTGTCTATTGATAATCTTTAATAAAATAAAATATTATTTTATATTTTAAATTCAAAAATACTTTTAATAGATACCATAAGTTACGTATAATATATGCATGTTAGATATTATTTAAATTTAAAATTTTAAATTATGAAATTACTGAATCTTTCATTTATACATTATATTTACATCTCATTTTTTAAATGACGTGAGATAAATTAAAATATACCATTTATAATATATATATATATATATATATTATCTTTTCGATATCCACTTATAATTAATTGATTTTAATATTGATTTTGTCTACCAGATGAAAGTCTATTAAGTAATATTAGTTAATGGCCTCATCATTTGTAATTAATTAATTTTATGTTAAATGCTTAACAATTTTATATTTTAAGTTTCTTTTGGCTAGAAATCGTATGGGTAGAAGTAATGCAGATTCCAACATGCAATATTGGAAATTTTACATTTTCTAGATCACATATAAGAGAAATTAATGCTTGCTGTGAATGTCAAATGTATCAGCTATTTAAATTTTCTAATGAAACGACGTACTAATGTGGCACAAAATGTCATATGATGACATCAAATATTTTTAAAGTACAAATATCACATTAAAAGTCAAACATTACATTACACAATGAGTAAATTGGAGAGAATCAAGGGGTGTCTTTAAACAAAGTCGAAATATGACCTTCATTTCCAATCAGTTCCACATTGCAATATGCTAGATTATTCCCTTTTGTTTGCCTATCATTTTACCAAATGCAGTGGTTGAAATATATACTAGTTCTATCAAACTAAATTTGTTGCTCCTAGAATTTAGAATGATGGACTACTTATCATAAACCCAGCATTCCAGAAAAACAAGGACATGAAGAACACAACCAAAGCGGGTTTAGAAAGACTATGAAACTAGTTAAATTGAGCCCGCCTCAGAAAATCAGTGTTTATGAATGGCTACTATCAAATAAGTTACTTTGCGAAGAAATGACATACATTACCGGCTCGAATTGTTCAGAACTGAGCCATATGATAGACGATTAAAACATGACATATACTCAAGAAGACAAGAAGTATAAATTACTATCAGCTAAGAGATTTTTCATGTAAATTACATACTAGTGAACAAGAAAATTATGATTGAAAATTATCGGGAGAGTACGCGGCAGCTACTAAATTTATCCAAGAAAAGAGGGGAAAAGATTTACTTCAGTTGTCCCAATTCCCAACAGCTGAGGCTAATGCTGCATTTCTGCTCATCTGCAGATGGATGTTTAAGAGGCAGGTCAAGACACTGCCTTCGCTATGGAAGTTTTGTGAGAAATACAGAACAGACACAAAATTTGATCAGTAATTGTTGCTATACTAAATCCAAAAGGTTAACAGAGTACCATCAGTTAGGCGGCCAACTCAGAAGTTCGGTTTTTCTATCTTGATTTCATCACTGTAGTCACTTCTTCCTGCTTGCCTGCCGTTTAAATATACATTAAAAGATGGAATGATTTTGTGTGTACGTGTCTGTGTGGAAAGAAGAAACATATTTACCCATTCAAGTGCTGAGAAATTATAAGGTCATGCTCCATATTCTTTAAAAGAACACTGTCTGATTGGTCTCTTCTCATCATGCTTGCATCAACAGAACCACTTTCCTTTAGATTGGATTCTCGCTTATCAAAGGGAAGTGAAACTGTACTTGTAGCTACAGAACCAAATTCTGTTGACAGATGAATGTGTCAGACTGAGGACTTCTCCACTTTTGGAAAATGGTATATGAAGTAGCAGACTCAAGGATCTTACCATTCGAACAAGTACAATATTTTAACCAAGTTGAAGAACGAAAGCTTTTGAGCCTACCTGATGTATTTAGCTTCAGTTGATGATGTGGCAGAATGTCTTCCCTGCAAATATCCTTCACAATCCCATAATGTGAGATGACCGGTAAGGAATAAGGATTATTCCCCTAACTTTCTATGCATTGTTTCTCATGACTTACCTGAGATGATAAGCGGAGCTGAAATGGTCCAAAGTGGGTTTGGATTGATTCCAACCCAAATGAAGTTTCTGAAGTAATTATGTTTGACATGTTGGGTACAGATGCAGAGTTCGAGCAATTGCATTGGTTGGGCAGATTTAAAACCATCTGAGCTGAGGTTTCTTGATTTGCCGGCACTGTGCTAGACACATTCATGGCTAGAGGTTCATTTTCTTCGCCAAAGTCCATTCTTGTTTGGGAAAACTGGATTTGTTGCAAAACTCCAGGCAAGCACATGGGATGCAAACTTAATCCATTTCTCATTGATAGCATCTGGTATTTGAAACAAGAGGTAAACAAATGAGTTGCGAACTTTTGTCCATATCTCTCACTGCTTCACTCATATTTCCGTTCGTTATTAGCAATTCCGCATAGACGATAAAAGGATAGACTAAGACTACAAAACAAACATCCTGCAGAAGATAGGACCAAGGTCCACAGTGTTTAAGAAATTTGAGTAAATTATGGCTATTAACATGTAATACAGAGCTTAAATGCAGGCATATCTTTGTGTCGTGTTAACCTTATCTTACAACTGAAGAAATAAGCAGCCATTAAAAACCTCAAAGACAACTCCCTTTTACCTTTTCTCTTCACATGATTTTGGCCATTGATTTCTAATTGCTTCTTGTAATGTTGTTTGAACTAGCATCCGCATTCTCTTCCCTAAGTCATCTTTTAGTCCTAATATACATTTGGCAGCACTTTTAAAGCAAGTTTTCAGCAGAATTCTAGCAGCACAATGAAAACTCAATCATCTTAGTATCTTCCCTCAATTCTGTTTGTGGATTAGTTAGGCAGTTCTTCGTGAATGTCAAAGAACATAAAAGATACACCCGATCAGTTTCCTAATATTCAACTTTATGTTGTTTGTGGATGCTAAATTTCTCTAGACACATTGGTCCACAATGAAGTTACGATTTTAACTTGAATTGTCGACAAGCTAGACTAGCAAAGGAATCAAAAGGAACGTATTTTAGAGACCATACTTCACACTGAACCAAACCAAAATGTGGTGATTTCAAATAACTCAGACTTTCTCGAGTAAGAAGAATGTTGTTTGGAAGGCATAAGAAGGGTTCCTTAGATGGCCCAGCCAGATGCAGTAGCATATAGACGTTGCTGCTTTTCAAATAAGACAATAGCCTATGAACTTGATAGTGAGCTTTGACATGCTTTAATGCCATAAAACAGCCTAACCAAAAAAACTATCATGCAAGATAAAATGAAATACACAAAGGAGAAGCAATTCATGCAAACTTCTTTCTAGATCTCCAAAATCCTCATACGTTTAAAGGGTGGATTCACCATAAATTAGAGTTGTGGATTCACCCACAAAAGAAAAAAAAATTGTAAAGATGTTGACATACCTGAACTTGAAGCTGAAGCTGCTTCAAGTACTCAATAGCTTCATCGAGCATCGAAGCCTTATCTGTCTGCCATGGATGGAAAAATCAATCCCTCAATATTTTTACCCATATTAGTAATGCCACCATATAAAAATCAAATCAAGGTGGAAGATGAAATTAAAAGATGAATAGTGAATACCTTGTTAGAATTTGGAATTAGGTTTTGCAATGCTCTCATTTTCTCATTAATCCTACTTCTCCTCCTCTGCCTCAAACAAACCACATAATGCCATAAAGAAAAAAATCCATGAAGAATATAACCAAATAAATAAGCAAATCAAATCAAACAAATAAATGCTGCCCCATTATTATTGATTTAAAACAAACTAACCTTTTCAGACAAATTATGGACCTCTGCAGCTCTACTTCTTTTTGACGAACTACGAGGCTTTGGTGGTGCTTCATCTACCAATGCTTCAAGACCCTCCTGCTTATTATGACAAATTTCAAACTATCACAAAGAAATTTTGAATCTTTGCTCAATTTGAATTATAAAAAGGCAAGACAAATCCCATTTTAACCCAAAAAAAAAAAAAAACTTGATTTTGCTAGAGCTAAAAGCAAAGAATTTTCATAGAAACTGAAAATTTGCACATTCAAAAAGAGAATCTTGGAATGGTGATTACTGTTACTTCATCTAACCAAATTTAACTGCATGTAACTGATCTTAACCATTCTAAACAAAATGTCTCAAATTCCCTCCCTTTCCCCTACCATTTTCTCAGCAACAGAATAATTATAATAAAACCACAAAACCAGACACTTACCTCACTTTCACAGTCACATTCATCGGTATCATTCTCACCGGCAGCTCCAACCAAACCCGACCCTTCACCCCCTCTCCCATAAGAATCAACGGTCGAGATCATCCCTTCGTTCACTCCACCACCAGGTGGTGTCGCTGACCGTGATAACAGCCGTTGATTCTCAGTTGGACCCCCAAAGTGGGCCATCCCAGAAGACGAAGAAGAAGAAAAATGAACTAGAATTTGATGAAGAAGATAGGATATATAAGCTGGAGAAGAAAATAAACGCGTCCCATTACTATACTAATTACTGTTATGCTTATAGGGAAACTTGTTATGTGTAATATCCAATTGATGAAAAACATAAATTTTATCTTATTATAATTCATATTCACCTAAATACGAAAATAAATTGTTTTATTATTTTCAAAGATATAAATTTTTTTAAAAATTTATAATATACTTTTTAAATATTTAATTAAAAAAAAATCATAGCGGTTGAGATTGGAATTGTGGGCGGAGTTTCTTTAACGAGAAAATTCAGGAAAAAATAAAAAGGAGAAGGTGAAAAACATAAGTGACTGCCTGTGGGGATACTGTGGTTTTTACTGAAAATGATTGGGCTGTCATAAAAAATACTGACATATCAAAGTGAGACTAAAGAATTTTTAGTATAGTGTCAGTTGAACTCCCACTCACGGTCACTGGCGCACGTGCGGGGACATTAAATCATGGCTTTGTCCTATAATTACTGATTAAGCCTTCGTTATAATCCGTACTACTCAATTATTGTCCACAAACTATGTAAATGAAAATTTAAATGAAAAGAGGAAAAGATTTCTTGGTTGGAAAAGCCAAAAAAAAAGCGTCACCCAACTCTCCAAATGAGGTCATGTTTTGAAACCAGTGATTGCCAGCTGCGACGATTGCATAAACATTTTGATTCAAGATGAGACAAGTCCGGTCTCAAATGGAGGAAAGTACAGACGATTCGAATTGTACATTTTGTAAGTTTCGCTTTTCACTTCAGCTCCGCCCATGATTCCCATAGACATACTTAATCTGTTAATTTGTTTAAAAGTTAAAATTATAATGATAAAATTACATTAATTAAATTTTAATTATAAATTTAGATCTTTAATATAAGTAAAGTTAAAAATGACAATGAAACGAATATTTGTTATTTTTAAAATATTCATATTTAAATTTATTTAATATTTATAATATTCAAATCAATTTAAATATTTATTTAAGTTTAATTAATATTCAAATTTGAATCCATTTAAATATTTTAATTTATTAAAATATTCATTTATTAAAATTTTTTATTAAAATATAAAATAAACAGTAATTTAATTTAAAATTTAAACTCATTCTTAATTAAAAATAAATAAAATTTTTTAAAGATTCTTTTATAAATATAAAATTTTATATATTTTACATATATAAATATATAATAGATTTGAGTTTTCAATACTATTCTCTAAAATTTAAATGAATTTAGATATTGAATATACAAGATATATTATCATTATTTTCTTCGAATTTGTTACGATTAATAAATTTTTTTATTTAAATATATTAATTATCTCTTTATAATTATTCAAATTCGATATAAATAATGATAAATATTTATTTATTTATTATCTATTACCATTTTAAAATAAAATGATAAAATTATACCTTATCTCAATAATATTTATCGTGTAGAGTTCAAAGGCCTCGTAGTTAATCAAAATGGAATTAATTAAAGTTGTTTGTCCCATTATCATATATGGTAACGTTGGTGTTATATTCATGTAACCTTGCATGCAATTGACTAATAGGAGTTGATGTGAATAACTAAAGTTTAAGATTTGAATATAAAATATTTAAATTTAAATCATCATGATTTTTTATTAATAGACAATTTATAAATTTAAAAATATTTCAAAAAATTATCAAAAGTAGTTAGTTTAATTGGTTAAGGCTTGTTCTATTCGACGAAAAAATCTTAAGTTCGAGCTCTGTCAGTAATCACTTATTGAGATCGTCTTGAATACATAACTTATAATCATTTGTCTTAGACTGTCAGGTATTATATATTTTATTCTGACGCAGACAACTAAACAGTCTATCTACCTTTGGATTTTTTATTGCCAAAAAAAATATATTTCAAAAAATTTATAAATTTTACTTTTTTAAGTTGTCAGATATGATACATCTTAATCTGACTTAGAAAAGTTGATCAACCTATTTACTTTCAGATTTGTTCTTACAAAAAAAAATATATTTAAAAAAATTCATAAATTTTTCTTATAAATTGATAACTTGTTCTAACATTAAAAATGCAATAATCTTCCTTGTCCCTAAACTTTTATAAGTTTAACCTCTGCATGTAATTTGTTGGGTGAAGGATGGAAAAGAAAATAAAAACGACACTTGAAAGTTGAAACAACATAACGTGCAGTGGAGATGGGTTGTGGGGCAAATCAAAAACAAATAATTAGATAAAGTGTTTAGACTAGAACTAGAATGGTTATTATATTTACTAGTAGTTTTGGTTCAAAGATAAAATTTTGTTATTGTTTAAATGAAAAAACGTAATTGGCATAAATTTGTCACTATCACTAATAAAATATTGTATGAAATATTTTAATTTTATTTTTTATTTAAAAATTAATGAAATTGAAATATACTAATAAATTTAATAAAATTTATATTAAATCATAATATTGTGATTTTTAAGTCCTAATCTCTAAATAAAATCGTACTAAAAAAATTTAAATATCGTATCCAACATACGAGATATTATACGCTTTAAGTCGAAAGCTTCATGATTTTGTCTTACAAAATATGTCTTATAAATTTGAGATTAAATATCTACATATATATCATTACTTGTTTATACATTTTTTTAATATGGGATTTAAAGTATTACATTCTTTTCACCTTTAATGCTTGATGTTTCTATCAAACTGAATCTATCTATAAAATCAAGATTACACCAAAGCACCATATAACATTTAGTGACTCTCACGGGCTCCGAGTAATAATTGTTCTGATATCATTTGTGAAACCCCGCATCTAACATGCTAGATATTGTTCGCTTTGACTTAAAAATCTCACGATTTAATCTCACAAAAAATTTTTCACAAGTTTAAGATTAAGTCTTTACGTATATATCATTTTTTATCTATATATTCTTTCAATATAAAATTGAAGACGACATAATCACACTGCTTTAAAATGAATTAAAAGTTACAATTAAATTTAAAAATTTGTATATTTATGTTATATTAATTTTATATGAAATATATATCAAATGTAAAATTTATCATAATATAATTCGTATAAATAATTAAATATAAAATTTTATTTTTAATTTTTATTAAAATTTGATATTTATTAATTTGATATTTTTTATATTACAAAACTATATCATGTTATTTAAAATTTTACCAATAAATATAGTTGGCATGTAATAGAAAGTTGGAGACTCACCCGGTTCTGTCTTTTGTTCATAATGTTGGATAAAATTCAAAATTGGTCACAGATATGAGCAGTCACAATCTGTCCCTTTCCCTGTCTCGTCCGACCACATGTCACTTGAACCAGACCACTAAGTATAATTTCCCCTAATATTTTTCAAAATCTTCCATCAGCCTTTTTCAGTGCCTACTTACGTGTCATACTCCCATTCGCCCAATAGTCTCGTAAGTCGTATCGACCCTCCCGGGCCACCAAAGTGTCTGTGTCTCTATCATCAAACGTTAAAGGATTAAAAACCATACAGACATGGCAAGTTAACAGATTTAATCATTATTTCTGAATATATTTTGAGGTGGGGTTAATGAAGACGTGTCAAACGGATAGGGTGATGATACATGGGGGTCTGAATTGATCGGATGGTGGAGGATTTTTGTTCATGGGCTTTTATGGGCGGGGCTGACTCCTGAAAAATGATAAATTCAAACATGGTGTAAGAACCCACAGAATTTGGGCTTCATGGCTGGGCCGATTCCCTACAGTTATTTCACAATGGATGTAGCCATTTGGCTAAAAAGAAAAAAAAATTGAAAATTGATTTGAATTCATAATATTTTGTTTGAATTAATTTTTTTATTTGATTTGATTAAGTTTAAATATTAAATATATATTAAATTTAGATAAAATTTTAAATTGAAATGTACAAAAGCAATAAAAAATCTGACTTAAATCAAATTATATATTTTTATTAGTTTTTATATATTTTTTAAATTTTTATAAAATAAAAATACTTATTTTATTTTATTTTTTAAAATTATAATTGTATAAACTTAATTTTTTTATATTACTTTTGAATGAATAAAATCATATTCACTTATAAAAAATTTTGATAATTGAGATATACACGGAGATATTATTACTGGAAACTACATGATAAAATTCTAATAAATTTTCATTTCATTTTTCCATTTAAAGAAGGAAAATGTCAACTTTTAAAATGATGGGAAAATCAATGATTTAAAACAGAAAAAGGCAGCAATGGATGCACATCTATCATTCCAAAAATTAAATCCTAAAAGTAAAGTATCGGTAAAAAATAAAAGTAATCATCATATTCATTGATACTAAAATTTATACCAACAAATATGATTATTTCAAGTGGTAAAAAATAAATTTTTTTAACGTAAAATTCTTGAATTCGAGTTTAGATGATGGTCGTTTGTTAGAATTATTTAAAATACATAAATTTTAATAATTTATTTTAAATTATCAAATAAAATATATTTTATTATAATTAAATAATTTATCTATTTTAAATTTTTTATAAAAAAATTTATTATTAAAATTTAAAATTAATAAGATGACACGGATATTTAAAATATAATTAAAAAATTACAAAAATAAGACATGTAATAATCTCCTAAAAATTAAAAAATTATATAAGAACAAGGAACTAAATCCTAAAAAAAAAGGGGGGGGGGGGCGTAGAAAAGTAACGGATGAGGCGGCCCACGGCACGTGGAAATTACAAAGACATACAACATGGTAACTACACAAACCTTAATGACAGCTAATGTAAGAACCAAGAGATAAGGCTTAGCCACGCAAAGGCCAAAGAAAACCTATAGTTTTGTCCTAAAATATTACTATTCCAATAACTCTATTTTAAGTAGATTCATGAAATTATGACAAAACAATGACCACATCTTCCCTTCTTTTTGTGTCGTGTTGGTTGTTTATAACCACCGGTAACTCTCAACAACCTCTTTCTAAGCTTCCTTTTAACGTACCTACGAAACTCCAAAACCTCTCTGTTCTTTTCCTCTCTGTCTTTGAAAGAGTATGGAGGAAGAGGCAGAGATTGATCGGTTACCAATAGACTTGTTGGCTCATATATTGGTGATGATCACTTCTTTCACCGATTTAGCCCAGTAAGTTTCTTTTTCTTTTTAATGGGTTCTTCTTTTTTTTTTTTCTCCATTAGTTATGTGTTCATGATCAGCTTCAAATGGTAATTGTTATGGGGATGGATTGATTCTGTATGTAGGGCAAGTGGGGTTTGTAGGAAATGGAAACAAGGGGTGAAACAGGCTCTGGCTAGAAGACAGACTCTGAGTTTTGCTGGTTGTAAGATGGATGATGATTCCACTGCTCGTCTCATTCGCCATGCTTATAGCGTCAAAGAACTCGACATGTAATCTTTTCTTCTCTCTTTTCTTTCTGTTGTTTGTTTGATGATTTTATTTTCTCGTTTTGTTTGAATTGGGGGTTGAAATGAAATTCTTCTGGTTGTGAGTTACCTTTAAAACATGGGAAGAGAATTTCCATTTTCTTGTAATAATTTCTGATTATAATTACAGCTCAAGGAGTCGTTGGGGTTGCCAAATAACTGACAATGGACTATACCAAATATCATCGGCAAAGTGTATTAGCAACTTGACATCAATTTCCCTTTGGGTATGACAGGGATCACTGACAAAGGTGTTGTTCAATTGGTATGTGCTGCCTTTTTTTGCCTCATCAATTGATGAATTCCTTAACTTGCTGGACTTGATTTTCAATTTTTTTTCCTTTTCTTGGTTCTTAATTGATATTCTGAACAGATAATAAGAGCCAATTCCTTGCAACACCTGAATGTTGGTGGTACATTTATCACGGATGAATCCTTGTCTGCCATTGCCGATAGCTGCCCACGTTTAAAGGTGAGTTATATGTGGATTTCCCATTTTGCTGAAAGTTTATTCTCCAGATATCATTGAGATACTGAATTTTGGACATCTCAGAGCCTTGTCCTATGGAGTTGCCGTCATGTTACAGAAAATGGGCTGTTTGTTCTTGTAAGTAAATGTAGCAAACTAGAGTCGATCAATGTATGGGGGACTAGAGTTCCCTTAGACTGTTTCTTGAGTTTGCTTACCATCCGCCCAGCTCTTCAAATAAAACCACAAGGCTTGCCATTAAATGTTGGAGCTGTTCCCATGCTACCAGTTGTGTTCTTGTGATCGCTTTTGCACATGCTGCGGGTACAGATCATATTCTTCTGGGAATTTCAATTGTCATCATATGAATTTGCTGATTCAATAAATTGAAAGTTCTGGTGAATTATTTTCTGCAAATTTAAAGTAATTTTTTCAGATTTTCATTGAGCAAAGAGAATTTGATTAAGCTATTTCAGCAGCGATTCATACACCAATAACCATTGAATCAAATGTCCAGACGTAAATCTAGCATTATTCAATCAATTTTTATGCCAAAGTATTCTATGGTGTGGTGAAAGTCTGACGGACGGCAAGGCTAGGTCAGATTTGGCAACTGGAAATCGGTTTTCTTCACATTAAACATTATTTCTAACTTCTGACTACGACAAAAGGATTTGAAGCTTGAAATAAATTACTACAGGCAAATGTAGTCCATTACAATCCACAACTTGAATTTTTTATTTTGTTGTCATTCATTCCTAGATCACTCTACTTTCATTCCATGTTTGATCTTTGAAACAAAGAAACCGTCAAATTCCTTATTAATAGCATGGATCTTTCCAATCTTCATAGATGAAGAGCATGGGACAACAATGAGCTGAATGTCACTGTATATATCAATATGAAACTAGTGCCAGGGTCTCATTATTATTGATGCAATTTCTAAGAGCAAACTGCGTCTCTATGTAATAATAAGCTAAAGCAATCAGTAAAATATGTGCAGATATGGTATGATGCCTGAGCTTTGGTAAGTTACAGAAAAATGAAAAATCAGAAAGAATTAGCTCATTGCATACCTGAACTAGGACTACTCAGTACAAAATTCCAGGTCTCTCTTGTCCACCATCTAACTTGGATTCCCGTGCAACCATTTTGCTTCAACATTTCTTCTCAATAGATCTTTGATCGTAATCAAATTGTATGACTCTAACAAGCATTCCTTGACCTTCAACCCATTAAGACAGTGATGCAGTATGCTAAGCCTTCCTAAAAGTGTAGATGCTATCCCGATATTATCTGTTTTAGTCACAGTAAAAACATCATCCTTGGAAAAGAAAACAAGTAAACAACCAAGCGATTAGGATAATAGATTGTTGAAATAGATCTTGAGAACTGAACAGATCCAGAAAAGCTTCCAGTAGTATTGGTCAGTGGACTTGTAGTAGGCATAGAAATGTTCTTGCAAGATCAAAATGGTGCTCCAGCCTGTAAAAGAATAAAACAGGGATTTTAATAAATAATTATGTAATCACAAGAAGTAGACCATATTGATGAAATGATAGGGTTCAAATCAAAGTAACCCCATCAAACTGTCCAAATTGCTAGGTAGACAACATTCAAAATGGTTGCCAAAGGAGACCGCAAATTTGAGTTCAGTATAGGCTTTTTAGTTTTTTATTTTATTTTTTTATCAGAGTTCATTGTTTTACGGGCATGAACAGCTTTTTCTAGTTCTTCCCACAATATTTTTACAAAAAAAAAAAAAAAAACAAATTATTTACAATTCCTTCTCACATCATGCGTTGAACTAGATTCTCTCGTGTAAAAAGGAGCAGAAAGAACAAGGCATGTTTCTGTACTTTAGAAAATAGTTCTGAGAAGTTGGTTAATCTATATCTCAATGCAATGTATGAAATTCGGGTGAACCATAGCTAATTCTCTGGTTTAGCACTCCATTGAACATAAAAAATTCGCTTGGAAAAAAAAAAAAAAAAAAAAAACCTTACATTTAGAAAAGTTACAGAGATAGATGTCTCAAACTTCGATAACATTAGTGGACATTTGGAGTAAAAAAAATTAAAATTGTAGATTCTTTACGCCGTAAAAAGCCGATACATAGTATTATATACTGTTAGTATTTGTCAACAGAACATGGGGTTGTTGCAGAATAAGTCCTCAATGATTCACTGAAAATTGAAACTCAAATTACCAATGCTTTTCAGTTAAGTAATGTCCACAAACATGGCAGGCTGTAATAGTAGTACATCCACATAATCTCTGACCATTCATGCTGTCCAGATCATAGAAAACTCCACCTCCATCACTCCTCTGCGTGATTTATCCCCTGTTAGTGCTTTGCTATTTTACAACAAACTTGATAGATATTAGTTACAACTGAATACCATGTAAAAGTTGACTGCCAAAAAGTTTGGCATCATACTCCCTGCTATTTTATAGTTTATAGCAGGTGCCAATCATGTCAGCAAGTGGAGCTGAATGCTCTTTACAAGCTTCATCTTCAACTGGGTAAGCTGGAAAGTAGTTCATTAGGAAAAGAGAGGCACTTTTTGAGTTTAAGTGGACCTGATCTCCAGCTTTCTGTTTTCTGTTCGGGCATGACCCTGGCTTTACCCTGGATCTCCAGCTGAAACCCAAATCATCCCGAAGAAGTTACTAGCAAGTACACAATATGAATCCAGGAAAAAAAAAAAAAAGGTATCACTTGCATATAATCATTGCCTTCAGTTTCTAATATGTACTTCCACTAATAAGCAATTCCTTCCTCTGCTTCTTTCGAAGCAACTGAAGTGAAAACCAAAAGCCAATGATTTGCTTGCGCCATTTCATTCAAAGTGGGCCAATCTTCACCTTCTTTGGCATCTTTGATACGGGAAAGCAGTACTTGTCCAAACCAGCACTATTGAAAAGCTTAGTCGGTCCTTTTGGTGTATGCACATAGTCCCTAATTATAGTGGTCACAATATCTGTTGGATTCTGACTCAAGAATGCTTCCACTTCCCGCAAGGTGTTTTGCAGGTTGCTGAATACAATCCAATGCAAATTATCTTCTAAAACTTGAAACTAAAAATTAGAACACACAAGATAACTGTTAAATTTGCAAGATGAAAGTTACAAAGGCAGTGAAGTTGACGCATTGTGCCCGGAATGAATGGCAGAGCCAAATATAACCATCAAAATCGTACATGTCCAACGTCAGCCTCCTCACTCCATTCTAAACAATATCCAACCGCAAAGCAAGTAAGTTAAAAAAGAAATCTATTGTTTAATAAGTAAGAAAAGAAGCAAGCAAAACTATTCTCATACCTCAGGCGTCTACAAAGAAGCCAAGTAAAGGGAAGAAATGACATTCGAATTTTACACATTCTCCGCTAGGTGATACCAGACGGATAAAAAGAACCAAAAAATGAAACTTTTACACTATCAAGTAATGACACTAGATGTAATTTACCAGATCATGTCATGTCACAATTCCTCTTTTTTATAGTTTCCTTTAGATTCTCGATCACAAACAAGGTCATTTAAAGGTGATGCAAATGAATGGAAGTATATTACCATCAATTAATTAGTAACAGTATCTTCTTGATTGTAAAATGTTAGTCTTTGAACATTTGATAAAGATGGTGCATCCACTATGCTGAAACTGAAGGAATTGTGAGTCACCAACCATGAATACTTGTTGAAAGGCAATCCACCAATCTGCCACCCACAATTCACACCAAAAACACAATTAATTTGCTTAAAATCACAAACTGAAAGAAAAAAAGAAAAGAAAAGAAAAAACAACAGAATTGCTAAAAGTCTAAAACCCGCCACCAAAATATACACAGAAATGGAAGCAAAGAGCTTCCTTTACCAAAAAGGAAACAAACATACAGTTTCACACGATGTTAACTGAAAATAACAAATACTCATCATTAAAAGGCAAAAAGAAGCTGACAACAGAAGTGGGTGTGGTATGGTGGCCTCTGGTACAAAAAGGTTGAGTATTGACCAAAGCAAGGCAATTTCCACAATAAAGACGGGGACTACAATCAGTAGCCTGTGAACATGAATCCAAAACCTGCAAAATTCTCTAACAATTCAGTTCAAACTGTACGGATCATAAAGAAAGGGAAAGAGAATGTGAAAGAAAAAGGAGAAAGAAACCTGGCAGTTTCCATTAGAACAAGAAGTGGAAATGCCGATGAAGAAAGAGAAGAGTAACAGAAACAAGTACCCAATCGCAGTGGCTCTGCATAAGCCAAAGTGGTCCGTGGAACACGCCAACATTATTTGTATTTCGCTCCTGCTTATGCAGAGCTCGAGAGAGCAGCAGGAAAAAAAAAAAAAAGAGTGAGACAGAGAAACAGAGGATTAAGAAACCATCGATAAGTGGATGTGACAGTGACAAACGACAAAAGGCTTTTAGAGTCTCAATGCGAGCTTTATCATCACCTTTTAATATAAGGTGGCATTCTTCAGTTTTTCGTCAAGGTTTTAACCTTACCTAATCGATGTCGTAACCGATTCCAGATTAAGTGATTTTGGACCGTCTCGTCGTCATTAAAAAGTTCATCTTTCAAATTATTAGTACTTTCTTCCCCTTTAAAATTGGGCATTGCCCACTTTGGCAGGTCATATACTGGAAGTGTCGGTCACATGGTGGGGTAGACATGCACTTTCTTAGCGTTGTTTGAATTGAAATACGGTGCTTTGGGTAGTTGGGGTGCTGGATTTTTCATCTTTGAGGAGGTTTGAAATTTGCAACCCAAAACGGCAGTGTTTGTTTGTTTTCAGATGATTGGTTTGGACCTTGCCTTCTGTCATCGTCACTTAAAAACTGGAATGCCTAACATAAAAAGATAAATGAATGAAGACATTTACAAACACTTTGAACAGAGTCTATTTATGTTTATTTATGACATTAAATAAATAATGGTGAATATAATTTAAATATTCATATTAATAAATAATAATAATAATAAAAATAATTTATATTTGATTTACTTACCTTCTTAAGTTGCTCTACACTCTCCATTACCGTTAGGGCTAAATTTTTCGGTCATAACAATGTGCGACACTTGTTTAAAGAAGCTAAGTAACAATTTTAAATGCTCACTTGAAAAGGTAACATCACTTTTTTCTTTTTTTATGAAAAATTTAAAAGTAAATAAGTTATTCAATCTCTTAAGTTAAAATAAAATATATCATGATCAATAAATAATTATCAACAAAATTCAAACACATGATTTTTTCATTGAAAAAAATAAAATTTAATAAATTAAATCAATCATTTAATAATAGCTTCGTTTTAATTGATACGAAATGATTATTCATTTATTGTAATTTAATAGTCTAGAAGGTAAAAGAATATATTATTTTACGTCTAAGTCAATTAATGAATAGTTAAAGTTTAATCAATATAGTGGGATCTTTGAATCACCTAGATAAAATACACTTAGGCTCAACCTTCAAAGGATAGATACACTCAAAGTCCCCCCGATAACTTGTCAAAACAGTCGTATTAGAATTGATCCACCAACATCCAGCTTGTCTGAATCATTAAATGCAATTCTTATTTATTCATGTAAACTCTTCTCAAATTCCATTCAGACATCTCATCAACTACCTCCATAAGAGCATTATCATTGATCTCATGCAAAAAGTAAATGAAAAATCATATAATTAAGATAACACAAACTAGACCTAACACAGTCTTTAACTTTTCCTTCACTGAAACTTCTCTCATGCAGTTCATCATCTTCATCTTCTTTACTTTCTTACCTTAGTGTAGGCATCATATTGACTTAGAACGTTAAAACGCATCCCAAAATAACAACTCTGATACCCCCTAAGCGTATTTTCTAGCTGCAAGTTACAACTATCTTTCTGTTCAATCTCACCTTAGTCCCAACTGAGACATCCAAAAACACCATATTCAACCATAAATGAGACTTACTTGTATGAGCAAACCAGAATAAATTTAATTTATTTAAGTAATAAATATCACTCCATCTGCATTTTCTAGAAAATGTGCACTTCATCAAGGAAAGACCCCAAAGGGAAAATCCCCTGACAAAAAAAAAAAAAAAAAGTTCGTGACACATTGGGCGGAGAGCCTTGCTTTGATGATTTCATGTCAAGTGAGGTCATATTAATCCATTGACATCTTTCCAGTGTAAGTGAACACGGTCTAGTCTGGAATAAAAATGAATTAAAAGGCAATAAAATCAAATAAGTTATCAGTGGAGATGGCAATGGCCGCCTCCCCAACAAAATGAGAGAACATTCATTCACCTTTCCTATCATCTATCAATGAGAATGATCCTTCTACCTGTGAAAGAATGGTAAAAAATTTTGAATTTAGGATGTAAATAAATGGTCAGGTTAAGCAAGCTTCTTAGCTCGTCCACTTGAAGGAGCACCGTCCTCCTTTTTGGTCCCAGATGCCTCGGGCTTTCTAGCCCAAGCAGGTGCTCTGTCAGGCTCATAACGATAGTCATAGAAAAGCTCCTCCCCCGCATTAATTCGTTCTTTGGCAAATATACCCACCCGATGATCCCCTGCAACCATAATGACCTGCAACACAATGGTTCAGCTTGAGCATGAAATAATAAATGGCAAAAACATTTTAATGGACCTCGACACGTTCTACAAACAATATAAAAACTGCAGAAGACAACATCGTCTTTACTGCATGAAAAAGGCAGTCTAATGTTACCTTCGCATAACAATTAGGATCGGGAGAATGGTTGGCAAACTTCAATTTGTCACCCTTTCGATAAGCATCAAGAACAAACTGAAAATGACAGAATCAAGGAATCAACATTAGCTAAGAATATAGAAAGAGAGAAGGGATTACATCCTTAAAAAAAAAAAAAGTAAAAAAATGAAAGGGCATGCCTGATCATTTAGATTGAAGAGAAATGAGGAATTTTCACGGTCATATATCTTTCCACGCTTATCTGCTTCCCGATGTGAAATCAACTCCCCAGTGTACTCACCAAGGTATTCATGCTTGCCAACGCTATTCTGAAGGATGGCCAAAAATTAAACAGTAAGTGGAAAATAGAAAAACACAACTTAAGGGCAGCTTCAGGTTGAGAGGCCCCATATTACCTTCAAGAAAGCTCCCCATCCAGAAACATCTGACCTTCCAAGCAAGACCTGTACATACATGGCAGGCAAGCCTTGTCAACAACAGATATGAAACTTTAATAATTTTCTGGTGTCAGTTACAATGCCTATCCCACACACGGAATAAGCATAAAAAGACAGGCACTTTTTTTTTTATGTTCTAAAAGTTAAATAAATGAATTTTGTTATTTATTTTTTCAGCCAATACAAATGTCCTTGTCCTCCAACCTCCCCTCCACCCTACAAAATCCCAAGCATATCACCCTTCGCCTTGGATAACCATGAGGCTTCTTGCACGCTTTCTATAAGATACCGTTGTACGACAAATAAAATTTATTATCCCTATTGTCACTTCCAGGTGCTTCAAGGCCCAAATGCAATCACTATTCATCTTTTGAGGTAAACAAGCACACCAGAACGGACTATATTTTAACAGTCATCTTCCATATCTGGAAACTATAAATGAGATTGATATATCAATACTTCTAAAGAGTTGTTGAAGAAAAAATTAGAACATTTCCCCTTTGATTTAGCCAGTTAAAAAACATTTGATGTACATATCTGAGTGAACAAAACATTAAGGAATTTAATACTTGTAAGACAGGACACCTATTTCAAAACAAGGGGGCACTTATTGATTCAATGATTAGTTAAACATTAAATAACTATATATTGAAGCATATCCACACCCATACACATGCACTTATCTAAATGGAAGGGGCAACTAAACGAGATGGAACAGACACCATTACCCTTTGCTGTTGTTTGAGAAGAAGCTTCATATTTCTGCATTCATAATTGTCACCACTTTGTGGAGGAACCCCAAGACTACCAGTGCCATCACCACAACTGCAATGCCAATTTCAAAGGATCAGATCCTAGAAGCAATATGGAAAGTTGGAACAGAAAAACACCATCCAAGTAATAACTTCAGATTTAAAAATAAAAAATAATGAATCAAAATGAGGAGCTCATTGACCATTACAAGCGTTGATCTGATTCAGCTATTCCCAAAATTTTAAATCCAGACACACTTCTAACTGCAAAAGAACATATAAAGACCTTTTGCTTTGGATAGGCCAAAGTAGACAAGGCACTAGTAGCTGAAACTACAGTTTGATTCAAGATGCCAATAAGTTACTCTCATGCAATACTAGGTGCATTTATAAGAAATTTTATTATGTTAACAAGAATTAGTTATAGATATTTTTATGAATTAGTAGTGAACTAATAGTAAATAGATGTCAAATAGCATAAATAAACGATATGGAAGCATGTAAGATCTCCAAAATCGATTGGAAAGCATATTAAGCTATATCACAGGCAAAGTTAACATAATCCTTTCCCAAGACAAAAGACCCATAACATATAAAATTAACAGCAATGATGCCGACTAAAATTAGTATCTCTTTTCAATGCTACTTTAGAATATTTTTAGGTGCAGGTGTACATCCATTTTTCCCCATTGAAGGCTGCCAAGTGACACGAGAAGGAAAAGGGAAAATCAGAGTCAGAGCTCACCTGACCCAACAGTTTCTACAAACATCTGGATCACATTCCCTGTCTGCAGCAAAGCATGGGCACTGACGGCTTCGACATTGACTTTTAGCACAATGGCAACCTCTAAATCGATTCTTGCAACTCTTAGGACATCTATATAAACGTGCAAATGCCAGGAGAAAGAGAATACATGGATCAGCATCAAGATATCATCAATGCATGTGATAAACATAAATCTATATCAAGATCAAAGAAATCTAAAGCAGCCAAAATTGATAAGGCCTGAGGAATGAATTGATTAAATATTTTCAACGCAATTCAGCTGTAAAAATAACAGCTCACCCGCAGTATTTTTCACAGCAGGTCCCGTTTAAAAGGCAAGAACATTGCTTTCCGCAAGCTGTTTGACAACCACACGGATTATACTGCCGGCATGGCTGATCTTTCCTCTCGGTAATCCTTTTCCTAATTGAATGATATGCAGCTGATTTCCAGGTATATTTTAAACGACGGACTCTAGCCCTTCTACGTAAGAACCTTGATCTCCGTCTTACTTCATTATTTCCCTAGAGTTATTAAAAAAAAAGAAAAAAGAAGAGAATGAGAAAACAGAGACAAAAAGGTCCTCATGTCCAACCTGCAAAGCTAGGTCAAATTAATTACTAACCATGGTTCCATTAAGGTCAAACTTGGAATACCCTTCAAGAAGAGATATAAAACCATCAGCTGCATGACAAGCCACTTTATTGTCAGAGCAGGTCATGTATTGGAAAACTTCCCAACATGTCTTCAATCCATTTAAAAGATTCCTGGCAATCAAACAGCTGGCATGACAAAGAATAAACTGTAATTAGAAGGAGAATCGATTTACTGGAAGGAAACCCGAAAGATATTAGTGCAAATAAAATCTTAAACATTTAGTGTTACTAGCAAATAAGAGAGGTGATTCAAAAACTACATAAAGGAACTCTTAGACTACAAGTCCTGATGATTGTCTGAATTTTGAGAAAAAGGAGGAAAGAAAATTAATATCATAACTGCTACTTTTAACAAACACTTACAGCAAGACCTATAGAAAAAGAATTGGAAATACCTACCAATCCATTGAATTTGATGATGGTAGATTCTTTTACATAAAATTAAAAATAAGCAGGCAACAGCTTTCATAGAATTAATCAACGTGGATTCTATCTAGTGTATATAAAAGCCAATTCAATATAACAGAGAAAGCAAGAATTCATTAAAATGCACTGTAAACTCCATAAACTAACCTATTCCTGCCAAAAATCTCCACACCTTTTTCAAAAAGACCTTTTTCGATAGCTTTCCAAGATTTATGATCACTTAGTTCTTGTTTACCTAAGTTTTCATCCACAAACTCTTCTTTTCTCAGGCCATCATTGCTATTACTCCAAGCCAAATCATTAATAGTCTCACTAGAAGGAACTTCGGAAACTTCTCCTTGCACTCCCTCCTTTAATGGCCACTCTTTCCTTCTAGACCTTCCTGTATTTGGAGATTTCACATTCTTCTGCAAAAAAGACTTAGTATCTTCATTTTCTTTCTGTGCATTAGACCTGAGTTTCATATCTCTAGGAGAAACACCTCCACTCACAACAGAATCAGAATCAGAAGCTGTCATCTTCTTATGCCTCTTGCGCCTGCAAAGTAAAACACGTTCAGCTACTCGCTTGCTATTCCTCTTGAAAATTCCAGATTTTCCAGCAATTTTATTCTTAGAAGATGATAACTGGGGAATTGGTGAGGAGCCTTCAAGCCTAGGTCCAATCTCTGAGTCACTACTTCCTGAAAGATTTTTAGCAGTGGATGAAGCACTTTCACTTTGGCAAGACTTTACCTTCCTCCTACCAGATGGACCAGAAGATTTCTTACGGGATGGCATTCGTGCCGTAACACCATCAGATGAAGAGTTTGACTTTTCTTCGGTATTTATCTGAGAGCTAACTGTGCCATTTCTTTCTGACTTCAGTACCTACCATTAAACAATTCGATCCTGTGTAAATATATGGAATTCAACTTTTAAAGAGACAAGAGAGCAGCCAAAAATATACCGAACGATAGCAATGTGAGCCACACGGTGCATTTTCTTCATCTGGATGGTTCCATGGAGGTTGTTTATCAGCCTGACAATATAATGTATTAAGAAAATAAGAATCTAGGAGCTGAGCAACATACTCGGATAATTTTAAATAATTAGAATTGCATGACCAACTCACAGGAAAGATAAGGTCTTGAGAACATCCATGTAATCTGCAATCAAAGACCTGCCAAATACAGAAAAAAAAAAAAAAAGGATACAATTAAAGAAGACAACAAAAAGCAACACAGAAGATGATAAGAGCATGAAAAGTGCTTACAAGGCATCGTCTACAAAATAAATTGTCAAAAGAATCAAGAGCTGCTTCAAGATCTTTTTCAAGAAAGGAATTCCAATTTTGTGCTTCAATACCCCCATTCTGGGAGGCCCCAGCATCCTTCTCCTCCTTCATAAGTCTTTCATATCTTGCCTGTATAAGATGTTTGATGGTGTTTCATATCTCTGTAAAGCCAGCACAAAGAGAATGGGAAACAGCTGGACCAAAGTTTACACTATGACCAGTTTTATCAGAAAACAAACAGGAGAGAAAACAATCCCATTGAAAGGAGCTTAGTTGCTCAAAAAGGGCCAGTATAAAACAAATCAAAGGCCAACACTGCAATTTCCAGCAAGGGTGCATACCTTGATTTCAGATGGACTTCTAGATAAACATTGTGCTAGCGATTCCAGTACCGGATCAGACAAACCATCTTCCTTGATGGTCATGCTGGCAATTATATAACAGGATGATGCATAATTATTACCTATAATTGGATCTTTGGATAACAATTTTAAGAAACCTTGTAAGATATGCTATAGCCTTATAGGTCCATGAAATCAATATGAACATTTTTAGAACAGGAAGATACATGAATCATGAATGCAGTATCAATTAAGTTTCATACAACATGGTTTGAAACATCCTGTAAAGATAGTTATTGGTTCATGCAGTAAATACAATAATTTTTGTAACCATGTAAGGATATTTGAATTTGGTACAAAGTAGCATAATTAACTAAGCTTGTTTTTCCTTTCAGAAAAAAAAAATCCACTTATTTTCCATAAAAAAAAAGTTAACTAAGTTAATTAACATGTCAAACAGCCAAAAGTTGCAAAGAAACCCCTAAAACAACAGAACATCCAAAAGATTGCAGAAAAGTTTTCTTCACCCCTAATTTTCCTTTCAAAATAATTGATCTCTTACCCCGCGTTTTTCACAATCTTGTAAGGCATCCTGTAACTATCAACCTTTCTACAATTATTAATTCAAAACTAAATAGATTATGTATATTTTGTCATTAAAATTTAAAATACATCATTTATACATGGATAATTTTCTAACTGCTAGCAGAAAATAGCAACAAATAAAGAAAGTATACATCTTTCGAGACTATTTCCAGGTTCTCCGCAAGAACAGGAAGTAAAAGCAACAAAATATGCTTCAAGATAGGAAAAAGAAGACAAAGAGAACACAAACAGGATTATGATCACAATAGATAATATGATTATACCAACCGAAGAATAAAATCTTCAGATTCCACAAAATCTCTTTTTTCCTCGTCTTCCTCATTTACTTCCTCCTCACTGTCACTGCAGATAAGTGCTTCACCACCACTTTGATCATAGTAGATTCTTCTTCGACCAACCACTGATTGATCCTCTGTCATTCTTTGATTTCTATAGCCAAAGAAATGAAAATTAACTGATAACTCAAACAAGAAAAATTAAATTTTTCAAAAGATAAGCAAAACAATTCAAGTTAAACAAACAAAAAGGTTCACTTTAGGTTACCTGTTTTTATAGAAATTCAAAGATAAATGCCACAAATCAGCAATCAAACAAAAGCATGTTTTACCCAAAAGCAAATCCTTCAATTTTTCATATCAATTTTCTAAAATTAGATGAACACAAGTGGCATTTTAGAAACATATAAGTCAAACATTTTTAATAGCACTCTATATATAAATACACAGAGTAAGAATATAAAAAACAAGAAAATCAGACAAATATTCTAGTTAACCTCACAAACCTGTCTAGAAATATCCATGTAGTATAAGGAGGTAATTTTTTCACTTCTGTAAGCTTAATGGGACGAACAGCATTCTTGACTGGAATACTAGATCCCATAAGAACTGCTGTAGAAGGTTCTTGATAGCTATGATTATCCTTATCCCCATTACTTATGTCAAGACCATTTTGCATACCAAGTGCATCTTTTTGCCTCTTTGTCAATAGATCTGAAACACTATCAGCATCACTAATCAAATTGCTTCTTCGTTCATTTGACAATTTATAAAAGAGGTTTGTTATGCCACCCAATTTTTGCCTGTTTTCTTCCAATCTTTTCTGGAAATTAAAATGAAGTCAAACTGATTAGCATATATACCATTATCTAAGCCAATGAATAATTAGATAACCTAGAAATGCACCTTTACAGAAACAGATCTGTCCGCTGAAACTTGCTTCTTTAATGAATCAATTACCGATAAAACCTCCTTAACAGTCGATGTATTTTCTTCAATTTGTGTCATCTGTGTAAAATTAAAAAAGCAATGCAAACTTACCAATGTAGGACGATAAAATTATATACAATTCGAGAGAGAAACATATACAAAAAACAATTTTTCAACAAAGACATTTTAAAATTAATTCAACAAAAGGAAAAGAAGAACAAATTGACCTAACAAACAAATCCTAAAATCAGTCCGTTTCTGTTGCATTTTCTGCTTATAAACTTGTCAGTTATAAACTATATATTAATGACGTAATAATCCATAAAAAACAAAATAAACTATCAAATTACTTAATCAAATTAAATTCAATTACAATCAGCTAAATTTAACAAAATGCAGCTATTTCCTTCTATCAAATAAGTCCAGAATTCAGAAAAAAAAAGTTGAAAAAATAAGTCAGAGAAAAATAGTTCAACAAGAATCAGAACGAAATAAAAGAATCATCTACACATGTCAGAGAGAGAAAAACGAAACTGAAAAGGCGAGAGTTACCGAGGAGTCCTTAGGAGGCTCCGATCTATCCACCGAAGCAGAAAGCGAAGATTTCGCCGCCATTGTCGGAGAGAAAGCCGGTTCGAGTCGGAAACAGTAAATTTGAGGATCCGGATCGGGATCCAATTCATAAGAAGGCAATGCTGGCTGAGTAAACCGAGAAAATTAGGGTTGAGAAGATTTGGCGGGTCAAGCTTCAAACCCTAATTGCAACATCTCTCGTTCCCTCTCTTAATTTTTCGGGTTGGGTGTTCGGCTTTTGGTTTTAATTTTTTTTTGTCTTAAGAGTTTTTTAATTTGGGAAATTTTATGACAATTTTAATTTCCAATAAAATAATAAATTGGGGTTACAAAAGTAAAATAAATTTTTGGGGGGAAAGAAACATGGCAATCTGGTTTGAATTATATACCGTAGAAAACTTCAACAACTACAATGCCTTGTTTGGATAGACATCTAGAATTCCTTTTTTTGCTTTTTATTTTCTTTTTCTTTTTCTATTTTTTTTCTTTGCACATAAACTTTGAAAGTTTAAAGAAAGAAAAGTTTTATGGTCTTCAAGAGCTTTGTTTTTATAATACATCAAGAATATCAATTAGTACTATGAATTTTTATTTTGATTTTTACATATGAAAATAAAACCATATATTTTATTTACTAACATTAATTAAATTTTTAATTAATTATTCAAACAATTGTTTTAGTTTATTTAGTTTAAACATTCTTACATTCCATCATATAGATGTAATTGAAAGCTCTTAATTATATTGCTCTTTTAAATTTTAATTTAAAAAAAAGATCTAGTGATTCATTGGATTATAGTACAATTGATTACTTTATTTAGAACAATCGATTGTCTTAATCTACAATTAAAAAAAATAAAAAGATTTTCAATTATAATAATCAACTACCTTTGATAAAATGATCAACTATCATACTCAATCTAACATCGGAGTGTTTTTACATTTTACAATTTAGGTTAAGGTTAAAAAGGATTTATCCAAAGTTAAAGAGAGTCTATCTTTGGTCTTAATCAACTAAATAAATAAAGAAGTCATATGAGCTGCATTAGATAAATTATGTTCATACTATAACTTGTGTTCACGTGGACTACTAATTATATTCATACTAAAACATCTTGTGTTACATTGACGGCTAATTGTGTTCATATTGCAACTTATCAGTGTTTATATAGGTGGTTAATTGTGTTCGTACTAAACCTCTTTTGTTCACATGGTGATTAATTGTGTTCATATTATAGTTTATTGTATTCATATGCAAATTTTATGATTTTGGACATAACTTTTGGAAGACAAAGTAAAAGGTGATCCCATCAATTTAACAACCTTAGAACAATAACCCTTGAGTGCTTTCGAGGGATGTTTTAAGCTTATTTAAATTCAATTACTGCTTTGTACTAAAAAATTAGAATTTTGTTTATCATCGAGTAATCTTTTAAATTGTTCTAAAATTTTATATTTCTTAAATAGGTTTCTTCAAGTAGTGAACTTTTTTTTCAATTTTAATCCTTAATTAAAATTCTTAGAATGAAATTTTTTTATCTCATAAAATTTAATCTTAATTACCAACTTCTATCTCAATTATCTAATATCAATATCGAGCTTTTACTCACATTTTTTGTAAATTATATATATATTTTTAATAAATTTTTTGTATCAAATGACCTTAAACACTTTAATCACTCATTACCGGCGCCACAATCTCATTATTATCGCTATATTTATATTAAAACATATATCTCTTCCATAAATTTTAATTTTATTATAATAATATCTAATATTACCACTACCCGTTCATCCAAACGTGCCTTTGAACAATTCTTTTTTCTTTCAAAAACAAAGCATTGACCAAAAAATTCTTAGCAATCAAAAGAACATAAATTAACAATCATTTTCGGGCACACTTAAATTGACTTTGAACATGTGAATCGCGAGTGGTATTTGTTGAAGCCAAAGACAAAGGACATCTACATGAACATTTAGGTTTATTTCCAATATTATTATTTTATGTAACGATATTAAGTGATTTATAAGGTTGTCATGTCTAATAAACAAGTGAATTATCTAAACCCTTTTATTAATGTAAATTTTATATATATATATGATGTGAGAAACAAATACTAATAAAATTTTAAGATTTTATGTGGATTTAAATATTTAATTAAATTATAATTTATTAGTTGATTATTTAGTAATATAACTGTTGATTATATGAATGTAATATTAGATTATAAATGTAATTTTAAAAGAATATTAGTAAAAAAAATGGGAAAAATAGAAAAAAAAAAAAACTGTGGCAACTAATGTTGACTAATGAAGGTTTGAATTTGAAAATTGAAATACAACAAAATTGGAGTCAAAATAAGCAAATCCAAGAATACAATGGTTCATTATCAAACGTGTTAAATGGAATAATTATGGTTTTATGAAATGATGTTGAAGACAAGGTGTGCATGAATTTTTATTTAAATTTCATTAATTTTTCTTAATTAATGTTAAATATGCAAAACTCAATATATGAAATTGTGTTTACTTATTGACTTTGAAAAAGGAGGATTTGAACAAATTGGGTTCATCTCCATTATTTTGTGTTCAACATTTCCAAATGCATTTTAAATCATCAGTTACATCTCCATTATCTTGTGTTCCTTATTTCTAAATACTTTTTAAATCATCATTTAAATATATATATATATGTAAAATTTACTGCTAAAAGTCATACTCATGTCTGCGAAGAGCGATTAAAAATGTTTTAAAAATAATAAAATAAAAAGTAATGAAAAAAAATCAAATTTGAACTTATATATTTAAATAAAAAAAAAGAATCATGAACTTTATGATTTTTTATATATGATTAATATCTCGAATGATTCCTACAGTCTGATTTGAATTATGTACTACAAAAGCTATAATTCCTTGTTTGGATAAACATCTAGAATTCCCTTTATTGCTTTTGGTTTCCTTTTTCTTTTGTTTCTTTGCACATAAACATTGAGAATTTAAAGAAAGAAAAGTTTTATGGTCTTCAGGAGCTTTGTATTCGTAATACATCAAGAATATCAATTAGTATATACAATGATTTTTTAATTTGATTTTTACATATAAAAGTAAAATCATATATTTTATTTAGCAACATTAATTAGATTTTTAATTAATTATTCAAACAATTGTGTTAGTTTTTTTTACATTACATCATTTGGATTCCATCGCATTGATATCGTTGAAAGATCTCAATTGAACTGCTCTTCCAATTTTTTACTAGAGGGGAAAAGATACAGTAATTCATTGGATTCCAGTGCAGTTGGCTATTTTATGTTGGACAATCGATTGTCTCAATGTAAAATTAAAAAATAAAAAGATTTTCAACTATAACATTCAACTATCATACTTAATCTTATTATTATCGCTATATTTACATCAAAACATCGTTGTGTGCATTTGCGGATTTATGAATCTGGCATATGTGAAGATTTTCATGGCGGACATGAGTTGGAAAGATTTTTTTTTTTTTACGTAGAACGGAACTGCGGTAAAACTGCTAGGAGATTTTGTTGCATTCTTCCTTTGCATTTAATATCTGTAATCTTTGTCAATTATTATAAACAGGAAGATAGATATATGATTCCATTATCTCTGGTAAATCTGATTCTTTTACTTGATGTCTGCTTGACATTTGCTGAGGTTTCAATTTGCTTTTGCTTTCTATGATGTTTAAAGAGTTCAAGTTTTTTGACATATAAGGTACTTATCTAGGTAATGATGAAAAATGGAAACAGTGAACAACACTAGGAAGAAGCTTTAAAGAAGACATGTGAACAGGATCCTTCTAGTGATAGCATTAAGAACCTTGATGATTCTCGGCCAGATGACAAGGTTTAATACTACGATGAAACATGGTTTGAACGTAAGATTTTCACTCTTTTTCCCTCTTTAAATGAAAAGGAGGGATGAAATGTTCATTGGATTGGAACTATCAGGTTCACATTTTATATGCATCCAAAGTTGGCAATTCACAATACTTCAGAGTTATGGCTGCCAAGTCTTGAAACCTTTTAGCAATTAGCATTTATCAGTTTCGTATTCTAGTTTTCTTTCAAGCCCTGAACATGTTTCAATTCTCCAAATCTTCTACCTAATTCAAGTTAGAATTCTTTTCCCAAAGCACTGGACTGGATTTGTTTTTAATCTCAACACGGCAGAATGCGATTTAGATTGACTCGGTTTTATAAAAAAATCGGTTCAGATATGATATATTTTAAAAATTTATAATAGTACCATGTATAATCGGAAAAATCAAACCGAGTTCGATTCAAACTATTATCACCCTTACCCTTTCACCAGAACATTGTCTTACTGGAAAATTTTTATGAGCCAAAAAGATGACATCTTGTGGACTGAAAGCCTACCAATGTGTTGGAAACCAGAAAAGGGAAAAATAAGGATTCAAAGACAACTTGTTGGACATGCTGAAATCTTCGAATAATCATTTCTTTTCTACGAACTTGCTTGAATTGACATTAAATCCATTTCTTCTGCTAACTCGGCCTATCATTTGGGTTATTCAGGGCTTCAACGAAACTGGTTCATGGAGCTTGCTTCAAGACTGGCTGATGAGTTAAAGTGAATGCTTTTGATCACTAAAAGATTCTTGAATTAAGGAAAAGGGTTCACTGCAAATTCCATAACAAGCAACAATGCTTAAAGTCATAATCAAGAAACCATAACCAGGATTAACCATTTAAAACGTTTTAAACCAACCATTTGCTTATTTTAGAAAAGGTTTTCTAAATTTTCTTTTTCTTAGGTTGCTGCTTTTTTGACATTGCCACCATTATTACTCACCCTCCTTATAAGTGAATACTGAAAATCACCCATATTTGGAAAGAGATTTTCAGTTTTGAAATTGATTACAACACCACTGAATTAAAATTCTATTAATAGCTTAGTTGTTTATTTTAAATAAAGTTAATCAACAGATAAAACAGGGATAATATATATGGTTATGGATGAAGGAGCAAAGTCAAATTTTGCTTGATTGAATAATTTGGGTCTTTTGACATATTCCAAAACATATTTAACCTAATTTAGTGGTCTATATATGTCTTTTCCACGCTAATTATTACATGAAAATCATGCTGTAAATGAAGTTGTCGATTACTTAATTTTACTGTAAAAAGTTTAGATGATTGTAGAAGAAATTAATTTTAAGATTTAGGATCATATTTTGTTACTTAATTTCAATTTTTTAACATAATAAAAAGGGATAATTTAAAATTTGTCACATTTATGCTTCAACCATGCAATTTATAAACATAA